TGTCACTATTTTATAGTCGAATTTCCTCAAACTGTTTTTTTTTTTTTAAATAGAATTAATATTCGTTGAAAAACAATAAACAACCGAATACCAATGATTAAATAATATATTAAAAACAACAATTGAACTACTCACAAAACCTTAGGGGAATTCGATTACAAAAACGAAACGAGCGAACGTTCCAAAGTACCACGGAGCAGTGAAAAACAAGTCACTTTCAAGTTGGTATCTCTTCTTTCGGACGGTTGACCGTAGTTCCCGTGCTTCTCTGTGAAAACTCAAACACTTCAACTTTTCATTACCATCGTGTCCTCTAGAACTCTCGGTATACATTCCGACCTTGGTCATCGTTTATCGAATTTTATCTACAGCGTGACCTTTAATAATTAACTCTAAATCGTGGCAATGGAGGTTTATCAAATGCATTTTTCTCTCATTCTATAAGTTTGTCTGATTAAAAATTTGTCTGCTCTTTTTTTCTTCATTGTTTTTTGACTTAAAAAATTAACTAGTTTAAAAATAATAGTTTTGGCACGAATTGAAATGTGTCTTACAAAACATCAGGTATACTAAGGTTACCATACTGATAAGGACATGTTAATAACGTTATCAATCCGAGGACTGAGATACGTGATTTAAATCACAGTGGTAACCACAGATAATACATAATTATGTATTATCTATAGTGGTAACCCACTAAACCAGAAACCGGGTAAGACACATTTGATCCCCGCCAATACTGATTGTTTTCAATACTTTTCGGTTTATTAATTTTTAAACTCAATTTGTGAAGAATTAAAAATTAATTTCATTTCTGAGTTTACCGTGTTTAATGCGAACTATATCATAGTGTCCCTTCTATTTTTTTTTAAGATTTGCCAAATTCCTGGTAAGATATACGGCATGAAAATTTCGGATCATTTTTACTGATCGAAAAAAAAGTGTATTGTCGACATGTTAGCCTACATCGAGCCGAATCTAAAAAGAAAAAAAAATATCTCTCGTTTACCATCGCGATATAAAGATACCCTACTACGATACCGTATTTTTATTTTAACGATTCTGCTCGGCACCGTCGTCGTTCGATTACGACAATATATTTTCGATTCCGAAATAAAATACTCCCGTGCTGCAGCCGTCGAAATACTGGAAATTGAATTTCATTGAATTTCCTCCTCGAAAACGAAGTTTTTGGATATTACAAATAATATATTGTATTATTATTATTATTATTCATACGGCATTCCGACGTAAAAATAAACGAAATACACTATATATTATCTCGTTTGCCAGATATAACACTCGTATTTTTAACGTTTTGAATAAATTTTATTTTGACTTTTTTCTGACATTTGTTTTGTACGGAAATCGTTTAACGATCTTATTTGAGAAAATTTCCCAAGTTTATCAAATTGAAATATTAAACGCAGTTTTTTTTTCCGTCCACTTCGAATCGCACGAAGATTTAAGTGCAAAACATCATCCGTAGAAAAACGGGAGGGTGGGTGAATGGGTTGCAAGTAGTATACAAACATAATATAATATAATACACGTCATAATGTAATACATTCATAAAAAAATGCAATATTTCTTCTTGCATTATTATGTTGCATATAGGTTATTTATTCTCAAAAAGAAATTGTAACCGTTTTGTTTCTATTCCGAAACGATCAACGACCCCTCGTGAAAATCATTATTACTTATAAAGCCATTCGCCCTATTCATGTGCGTATTTATCACGCATACAGCTATGAATGTCCCGTCGAACACGGTAGAGCGTATTCGTGTTTTAACATTTCGCAACGCGCTGAAGGACCCTGCGGATCTACGCAAATCGCGGAAAATACTGATGGGTGAAATATGTCTGTTTCCCTCAATCTTGCCATGTTCTAAAACAATATACCTATATTACAACCAATCGACAATCTTATCTGACGTTTTCATGGCGGTGACCTTTATTTTTGCATAATTACATTTAATTTTTCAAATTGTGTAAAACCAAAGGAGTCTAATGCCTTATACCTTATCCCCTCCTACCCCCGGGCACCTACGCTGTTTATCGTTTTATCGGTAAACGCTTTTTTTTTTTTTTTTTTTTAAAACGACATTCGGCAGACTGTATAACTCAAAATTTACTCGACGAACATCGATGATCATACTTACGTTTTTTCGCTCGCCTAAGTAATTATATCGGAAAACTGCTTGGGCGTTCGCGTTTGTTATCCGTGTTATGTCTGTTACGTGCAACTGCTGTTTGATTTCACAATATTCGTAAATTATCCGGTCGTCGTGTTATCGTTTGTGTTTATATTCATGTGTCTACAAGCCGTGACCTCAATCGCTGACTAATAATACTTCGTATAACACGCAGCGAACGCGAGTAAAATTCGAACTGAAACCACCCCGATAAGCGAACAACTGATAAGGATCTTTATCGTGCGTGTAATTCTAATGCCGTGCTCTAAACGCATCATTTTTTACGCATGCGAGTCCTCGGAATGTCGCCGAATTCGAATCATCGTTCGGATACTCATCGCTGTTGAATTTTTCGCGGGTTTTTTTTTTTTTTTTTTTGTTAAACTTTTTCATCTCCTCCTAGTAATGTATCCTGTTTAGACGAAAGCCGCGTCTCGCATTCTTTAACCTATACTGGGCGTTTCTACAAAGTCTGCTGCACACATTTTTTGATAAACAAAACGATTATAGGATTTAGGATTTCTGCTGGCTGCACGACAAACATTACAGGGTCGCCCCGTCACATTCGGTTTTAGCGGTGCTCTCCGACCCGCGTACTCCTGTGGTCGACCGTCCGGCGCTCGTATAACGAAACGTTTATAACGTTTACGGAAAAATAACGTCCCCGTTGACTTTCGCGAAACGAATATTTCTAATTTCCGCCCTCCTTCTCCCCCCCCGGCCGCCGGTCTAAAAAGTCTCGTATTTACGAATCATCTCGAAAGTGGGTCTCGGTCAGTCGGATGGGTCAATAATAACGGGAGGTTTTTTTTTTTTTTTCTCACCGACGGCTTCCCCGGACAAACAACGTGACTTTATCGCTATACGTACATGTACGCCGGGACAAGAGCGCCGGCTAAAAGTAATATAAATATATTTGTGTCAAGTGTAACGCGGTGCAGTGGCGACAATAACCACTTTGGCCGAAACGCCGCACCACCCGTAATGGCCGAGGAAATCCGCCACCCGCGAAATCCGACAAAGCCGCCCGCCGCCGCCGGTCCGAATCCCCTCGCAGGTTTGCCGCCGAAATCCCCGCACGCGTTTTCCGCAAAAACACCGGCGGAACGAGAGCGTGCCGCGTTCGTGTTTTTTTCCTACGATAATTAACGACGTCGTTGTGTTTATCGTTTTATGCCGCGTCGTTGTTATTCTGTCTGTTGTCGGCATCCGACGGTATCGCCGCGTATCGTCGGATCGGTTCCGCCGCGTTTGACCGGCGCTACGGGCGCGCGCCAGGCGCCGACGAACCGTCCGCGTTCGATATTTCGAACCGAATCGCAAAAATTGCAATTTCCGTAAATAACTTTTCTGTCCGGGCGCGCGACGCATTGTGTTCTCCCCGGATCCGTATCGAATATCATCCGCGGCGAAACTCGAAACCTACGCGTGTTCCCTGCCCACGTGATTATTGTCTTAAACAATTGTTTTCCAGAAATGGTGCATAAAAACAACATTCCGGATAAACGCAAGGGGTCGCGATATCGTCAGAATCTGCGCGATAATAAATTACGCGCGAACAACCGAACAACGGTATTTAATCGTCCCGATAAAAAATAAACGACTGGCGGTAATTTTGTATAAATACAACACCTTTATTATCATAATAAGTTATGCGCCGCGTTAATGTACACTTAACAAACGTCGATAGTTTCTGTACGCGAATCGATCAATGGGCTCAATCAATCATTCCAGGCGGTTAACCCGAATAACGTATTTCCCGTTTAGACGAATCACGAAAATAATATACCCACCTACCCAAACGCCGTATAGTTACAAAATGTTTCGCCGGTCACACAAGAGATTTTGTTGATAAATAGGTCGTCTGTAACAACGACGATGAACAATGAACAACGGCGGACTGGAACCTGACGAGAGAAGAAAAAAAATCTAACGTTCACAATAATTAATTTCATCCCTTGAACGGTCTAGATTAGTGCGTTTCATACTCGCCGAGCACATTTAACTTGATAATACTATCAGTCCGTATAATGTCGTGTATCCACCGCGAACGCGATAGTTGCAAATAATAATATAAAATAGATTACAATTGCGTGCACGAGGTGATGGCGGTAAACCGAATACGTCGACCGGTTCGGAGCGTATAGAAAAAAAAAAAATAATAATAATTTTCTGTTTCCGATCGCCACAACAAAATCCTAAAATTCCATAAAAACCGAAAATGAAAACCCAACACTCGATTATTGTTCATAACCAATTAAAGTCGTGTAGAAAAATGATTGCACGTACCACGACACTTAAACCATGTCGTTTGGGTTAAATATTCGGAGTTTGCACGACCACGTGTCTTATAATATGTACATTTCCAGTGTTACCCGATTATTACGCCTTAGAAAATTTTTAAAAAAAAAACCGGACACTTTAATGCGCGAACTTGAACCGAAATGCAACAAAAAAAAAAAAAAAAAGGTTTCTTGTTATTTTTTGATCGGAACGAGAATTCTGGTATAATAATCGTTTACAGAAACAAAAACATGCGCCACGTTAAAACTAATAAAATATCTTCGCTCTTCGGAACGCGTTACAGTCATTTAGATTAAATATGTTGAATGTTTAAAACGTTTCGAACACAAAGAGTTGTTTAAAACACTTCGCAATCTTGATTGTGCGTGACTCCTGTACGTTAACGTCGATTTTAATTAAAACGTTTTTTTATTCACTTGTTTTAGGAACATACGAAAAGACGGCGACACGGAGGGATCACTGGAATCGGGACATACTCCACGTCTAGCGCGTCGAGGACGATGACGAACCTCACGTATTTGTCGTTGTCGTCTCCGGTGGACGCGATATCTTCGGTAGAAGAATGCGCGGCCCCCGGCGGCAACGTCACGATGACCGGGACGGCCGCCATGTTGGTGACGGTTATAGCCGTGACCACCGCGCTGATCGTGGCCACCGTGTTCGGCAACATACTGGTCATCATGAGCGTGGTCCAGTACCCGCCGCTCCGGTCCGTGCCGAACATATTCATCGTATCGCTGGCCGTGGCCGACCTGATGGTGGCCATCGGCGTGCTACCGTTGAACGTCGTCTACAACGTGACGGGCGTCTGGCTGTTCGGCGGCGTCGTGTGCAAACTGTGGCTGACGTGCGACGTGCTGTGCTGCACCGCGTCCATATTGAACCTGTGCGCCATCGCGCTGGACCGGTACCGGGCCATCACGCAGCCGATCGCGTACGCGCAAAAGCGTACAGTGTCCCGGGTCATGTGGACGGTGGCCTTGGTGTGGATAGCCAGCGCGGTCATCAGTTCGCCGCCGCTCATAGGCTGGAATGACTGGCCGGACGTGTTCGACGAGCGGACCCCGTGCGCGCTCACTACGCATCCCGGTTACGTGCTGTACTCGTCTATGGGGTCGTTTTACATACCGCTGGTGGTCATGAGTGTCACGTATCTGCGCATCTACGTGGCCACGCGACGGCGGTTGAGACGCCGGGCCCGCCAAGTGGCCATGCCACAGGGCAGCTGTGCGGCACAACATTCCGAGGTGGCAGCGACGGCGGTCGCCGCGGCCACGCCACCGACCGCCGCCGCCGGTTCGTCGGCGTCGAAGAACAAGCAGCCGTCGGCCACGGAGACCGTCGACTCGGTCAGCAGCAGCGACGAAGTGGACGGGGCCACGTGCAGCGGTCTGGCCGGCGGTGACAACGGCCACGTCGCCGGCACGATAGCGTCTGCGTCCTCGTCGGCTTCGGCCACCTCGGCCACCGTCACTGCAGCCGCGGCCGTCACCACCTCGGCCATCACCCCGAACCGCAGCAGCAACAAAGGGGGTCAGCCGGAACGGCAGCAGCCGATGGGCAAACACGTCAACCAGCTGCTGGAGCACAAGCAGCGTATATCGCTGTCCAAGGAGCGGAAAGCGGCCAAGACGCTGGGCGTCATCATGGGCGTGTTCGTCGTCTGCTGGTTGCCGTTCTTCGTCATATACCTGTTCTTCCCGTTCTGCAAGTCGTGCTGTCCACCGTCCAAGCTGCTCATCAACGTGGTCACGTGGCTGGGATACCTCAACTCCACCGTGAACCCGATCATCTACACCCGGTGCAACATGGACTTCCGGCGGTCGTTCAAGAAGATCCTGCACATGGACAACCAGCACCGCTGACTATTGTTATTGTCGTTTTTCAACACCCTGTATATAGTATACGATAATTTAATAATAATTTTACTATTGTATTGTCGGCGTCGTTGGCGTCATGACGGTACTGCGATTCGCGGCAAGGCGCGATCAGTTGCGTTTCGTTTTGTGTGCGAGCGAATTCGACTTTGGAGTTAGAGCAACGAAAAATTACGGAGAATTTTCAAAACACAAACATTTTACCATTTTTCAATCATTTTTTTTCGATACCTATAGATGCAATAGATTAAATACCATAATTTCGACACGATATCCCGTCAAATGCGATGTCGCATCTTGTGTTGCGTATTATGATTTTCGCACAAACACATAGTGACACGATGTCGCGGCTGCCGGCCGTCGCGACATTACTTCGAACTTCGCTGGACCGTTTATTCTGAACGAATCTCGTGCGACGTGGCCGCCGGGTGGTACGACAACGAAAATTCGTCATTTCGGCTCGGCACATTTCGTATCGGAAATACAGAGTGTAAATCCGCGAGTGAATAAAAATCAATTACTACGCGTTTTACATACCGCGGCCACACATTTCGATATTAGCAATAAGTATAGATATCGGCGATTGGTATTAGTTAGCAAAACAATGTTAAAGTCATAAAAAACGCAAGAGCCGGATTCACGGGTTAAAAAGTCAATCCGGATCGACTGTTCTAACCCGAATAGCGACAGTTCGATAATTCGTTTTGATCGGCGCAGTGAAAACTGCAAGTGCATATTAAAAAAACTGATTATTTTTTTTTTTTTTCGAATTTAAATTCGGAATATAAATCCTTTTGGCTTGTGTAAAGAATTGTACTTTTTCTCGCTACTTTCGGACAGCCGCTCACTGCGGGTTAAATTTATTAAGCTGATAATAATAACTAACTATAAAAAAAAAATAGCGGTATTTTTTTTTTTTTCTGTGGTGGATCGAAGCGATTTCAAAGTTGGATTAAATTTCAATGTAAATAAAGTTATAAGGAAATAATATTTTATACACGTATTGTATTATTATCGTCGAGAATTTGCCTTTCGAAAGTTTTCAAATTCAACTCTTACCCCCGGCTTTTTTACGCAACATTTCGCTTTTTTTTTTGCGAGGGATAGTATAATAGCTATAGTAGTATAGTAGCTTAACATTATAGTACTGTATAGAACACTATAACGTTTAGTTTTCAATCATTTTACTTCTTTATTATACCGCTTCATTGCTATACTTCGGTAATTGAGTCGAGAATTCGTTTCTATTGCGACGGATCTCTGCCGTTCACAGGTATTTTTTCTTTTAGGATACGTTCGAAAATCCTTCTAAGGGTTGTAAAATTCGCGTCAGTTTCAATCATTCAATATATATTTGAGGTACATTGACATGGCCTTTACCGAGATTATCGTTAAACGCGATAAACTACATTGTACACGTGGTGTTGTGGTCGATGTGGATGAAGACAAAATACAATAATAATCCCGAATCGCTATAGCTAATAATCCATATTTATGGTCCAGTGTAAACACGTGGTAATTATTATATCGACACATTCCGGCGGTTTTGTTGTTATTGACACGGTAATACCACACGCGTGAATATCGATACCGAAACTGTGACCCAGTTTTTCGCTCATCCTTGTTCGTCCTCGTGCGCGCAATCTGATTTTTTCTTCTTTGAACTAAACAAATACTTTGGACGTACGCATCAAACGATTACCGAGTGCAGTTATTTGTGTTGCACAAAGCAAAAAAAAAAAACCTAACCTAACACAAACTGTAAAGTTTACCGATAAAACATAAATCAATAGATATTTATCAAGTTTCAATTGATCGCAGTGTCGAATGTGTAGCGATCCGATTTAACGATATTCGAAAACGCGTTCATTGCGAGGGAATAGCTTTTCGACTTAACCTTTGTGTCGCTTTTCTTCGAGTTTGTAGTACCTAAGCGTTTTTAGGAATCGGTAGTTTTCGGGAAAATATTAGTTTTGATTCGTGACGTGACCTTCGCACGTGAAAACGAAACCGTTATTAGAACTGCCCGTGGTCAAACGAAAGTTTGCAACCGGAAAAAAAAATCAAATGTTTACTCGATACGTGACTTTGTAGTCGCAGACGATTCACACAAACGATAATTTATAATAATATTTTTTTTTTTACGGTGAACGCAAAACACAATTCCGTTTGATTAAATGTTTTGGACTTTTTTTTTATATTTCATATTCTGTCACTCGGTATCCACCTGTATGATAATTATGTGTAGCGATCAGATGCGAAGAGTAAAGCTGCGGTATTTTTTTTCAGGATGTGGTTTTTTTCCGAGTTTAACCGAAAAAATACCAAAGGAATCGAATTTGTTTACATCTGACGATCAAAAAATCTAGAAAATTGCAGATGAATAAAAATCGAATGTACACTATATGAAGGGCTCGCTGAAACAACAAGATAAATCCAGTTTTTCAAAATTGTTCGGGAGGATAATTCAAAATTTTTTTTTCCAATGTATTTTTGTTTTTTTAAGGAATTTTTTTTCTGCTGAGTTTACTCATACATTATTTTGATCAAAGTTTGTGTTCCGAAATTTTCAACGAGAAGCCTATGTTTTTATATTGGACAAAGTAGGTACAAAGGTACAAGGAACAGATAAAAACCTATGGAAAAAAAATAGTTTGTGGAACGTGAAACTTACAACGTGTTTTTGGTGTTTTTTTTTTTTTCCAATTCTAAAATTTTGAGTGCTGTTTTAGTATGGCAAAATACTTTCCAACGTTTTCTTTTCTTTGAAAAGTGTACAATCAACGGGAAAGTTCAGGGCTATCGGTTTGCGCTGTCGAAAACGACCTCAGCATTGTTCCCCCGAGGTTATTACTGTACCGCAATAATATTAAGGCATAGGCGATTCTCCGGGAAAGTTTGAATATTAAATAGCCGCAGATATACTAACATTAAACAACTTTAATCTAGAATTAGCGTAAAATGTTCATGTCAACAAAACGGCCTACTTTTCTTATCAAAAGGGTCCGAGTTTACATTTTGTTCGATATGATAAGAGCTAAACTCGCATAATTTTCTATATTATTGTTTTGTGGATTTATTCCTATATCGTCGTAGTGTTATGAAACAGTAGTAAACCGACCAAACGTTATTAGCGTTGGCCAACGATGTCGGCAATTTTCGATACTGAATCGACATGATGATGCAAAAAATATACTACTGCTATACGTTACTGTAAGTGTACAATTTACAATTCGAATTCGAATTTGATTAAATTGTTGAAATATTGACAAAATATAAACACGGACCTCTTTGATAAGAAAATTCGGCGTCAACTACAACACCAATTTAATTGTTTATATTATACTATAATACATATGTGAATAATATTTATTCTTCCACGGAAAACCGATTGTAATTTTTGTTTTATTGTTTATTTTTTCCGGTGTTTACGCGTTCGTTATTTATACGCGTCCTAAGTGCAGTACACCGTTTGGAAACGTACGCATATTTCGGCGTGGAAAAATTGTACGAAAAGTCCATTAAGCTTTGCGTTTCACAATTTAGTCGGCATTATACGATACATTTATTATACTTGAAAATACTTACGATCACGCTGATCGACACGTCTATACGGTTAATAATATTTCGACTCGCGTTGCCGTTACAGATTCTCCGTTTTGAATTGATTTCGGTACGACAATGGGCGCGCACAATGCGCAAACCGTCTAAACGACGACGTATATCCGCTTGAAACGCCATGTTTAAAATATCATGTTATCGATTTTTATTTTACTTTTATTTTTTTCAAGATATTTACAACTGTCACACATGTTGTCCCATATATTATGTCAGTTGTGATTCTCGATTTATTATAATATAATATACATATAGGTACCAACAGTAAAAACCGGGTCGTTACACTATTCACTGTATTACATTTTGAATTGGAAAAAAATGATGCACTCTCAAAATATCATGTACATCAAAATATTGTGTCACGGTCAAAGTATCCCACGATCATATCTCGCAATAAAATTAATGCGATTCCAAATCGTAACGCAAATACAAAACGTTGACCGTATCGAATCTGTACGAATACGTAATTTTGTATTCCCTTTCAAATGCGTTACGTGTGAAAATGAAAAAGAACCGAAAACATGTTTAACATGTTCGAGCTGACGATATTTTGAATAAGGTATATTTCACACGAGTTTATTTTTTAAGGCGGTTATCCTGATGTACGGAATATTTTGAGAGGAATCGGAGAAATACTATAGTACGTTAAAAAAAAAAAAAAAAAATGAAGTTTTAAGTAGAAGAATCATATTCGTAAAATGCAATTTTCTCAATCTCTCCGTTATTGTACGATTCTCCGTCCCGACCTCTCAGAGTACATTGATGTGTGAGCGTGTTGCGGGTGTGTACGCGTTAGTGTGTTTGTGTTTTATACGAAAAATCTAAAAAAAATAAAAATAAAAAAATATTTGTTATACTACGTTGTTTGTTACACTGCGTATAAATAAATGTAACACTATTGTGCGTTTAAAAATATTTATATTATATTTATTTAATCGACGACTAATGAATATATTATCATTTATATAATGTTTGTTTGTTTTTTTTTTTTTTTTAATAATAAATGAATACAGCTAAAATGTATTATTATATTATAACGGAAATATATTATTATATTAATAAAAATTATGGTTTTTGTATAAAAAAAAAAAAACAAATTATATAATATAAGGCTAAATTTGCTTATAGTCGTACATGTATATTATAATATTATACAATATTATTATAGTTATTAATGTAGAATAATATTTGTTAAACGTTTATATTTCTATAAATATATTATATAATAGCTCAATACATTAAACCATTAAAGGAATAACGAAAGAAAAAAAAAAACAAACAATGTACGCAAATTTAGTCATATTATTGTACATAAATATTATCTATATTATAATTATTACGGTATTTGATTATCATCATTTGTTTTGTTTTTATTCAAAATAAATTTATTTCGATTTTGTCAAAAATGTGTAAGCTCGTTTTTATACCCGATCCCAAAACGGAATAATATGATATTCATGCGGTTTGCTTAAATTCTGCTGAACGACTCGTAAGACTCGTAATAATACTAATACAACTCCGCTCAGAATCTGACTCTCGGTTACAATGATTTCAGTATACAAATCGAATTACCTTATAGTAAGTATTGAACGCTATACCATTCAGACGTTTCGCCTTCAACAGTGGCATGCCAATGGCTAATAATTACTCGCATACTTCGTAAAAACGTAAGAGAAGTAAAATGTTTATTATAGTTCCTGAATTTTTATGTCGGTGTGACCGCCGTTAACCGCATTATCATTGATACCTTCGCAAAACGGTATATCGCAGTATACCGTTATTAAACGGGGGGGGGGGGGAAATACTCTGGGGACGATGTGTCCCCGGTGATCCCCCGCCTCCATAACTGCGCTACCGGTTAAAATTATATTACGCTCTGTGACGGTACAGAGTAGGTGGCGCGTACCTATGCGTATACGGTACCCCCTCCCCCCTATTTATACTCGTAATAAACTCTCGCGTTCATTTTTCGAGTGGGAAGGTACGAGAAACACCCGTCATTAATTAGATTTAACGGAATTATAATTTATCAGTTACGTATATATATATATATATATGTACATAGTTACCTACCTTACCTATCTATGAAATATTTGACTGTATCCGGCCGGCGTCTGCGATCGCGTTCAAATTGCAATAATATATTTTAGGTTGTATATACGTCCTAATCCTTATCGTTTTGCGCGCATTAATCATAAACATCACGTCTCTTATAACAAGATGTAATATTGTTTAGGTATAGGCACTGTATTATGGAAACGATTCGTAAATGTTTAACAGGCGCGTTCGGAAATGGGATGAACGCAGCCCGACGCGGGCAATTTCCGCGATGGCAGCCGAATAATTACGTATAAATATAAAATTAAAGTCTAATAGAAACAACAACATTTAAATAAAAAAAAAAAAAAAATCTGATAAACGCAAAAGACGTGAAACCGCCGTGTCACTGTCGTGTGCATAGACGGCATAACGCGTCCAAATATTATCGCTAGTAAAATATGATTCTAAGCAATGTTAGGTTATACACACTGAGCAGTGGCGCCCGAGCGTTTTATAACACGTATAGCACGATTCATAAACAACACCCACCTACACTAATACAAAATTGTACTGGTCAATCAAATATATTATTAATAGTGTTTGTATATTCCACCTGTATATTGCAGAAAAAATTAGTTCTAAAGTAGAATAGTTAGGACCAAAGTAGCTTATTCTATCTATAATTTTACTTTCTTTTTTTTTTTACTGTTGGACACCCACCCCCTACAAAATCATTAGAGATACGGCGGTTTCTACAACTTGCACATAGGCCGGGCGCCACTGCAGGCACAGAGTTATACATGGTTTTAAACGCACGGTTTTTTGTGCGATTTTCGTCAACATTTCTACTTAAAACACGCTTTAAAAAAAAAAAAACTACATTAAGCTTAACTAATTACTGACTTCGTGTTAAATTTTCGAGTATTTCTGCTCTTCGGCCAAAACAATTAGATCCACATCAAACCAAATAAAAACTAGAAAAGCTGATAGCTATCTGTTATTATTGAATAGAAGCTGAAATAGGTTATGGAAAAAGAGACTAAAATCAGTGTGAAATAGGTTGAAAACCGCGGGTGAATTTTCGGGATGGAACACAGACGATTACTGCTGCAAAGACAAGCCGAAAATCCACGCGAGTTTCGTCAGGAAAAGTAATAAAATTACCGTTTTCAACTGTCGCAGTTTAAGTCCGCTACGATACGGAGACGGCACGCGTCATCTTAACATCTGTTATATCTGTTACCCGCTATTAACCCATTCTTCCTCAAACAGAAGCGATTCATTGAACATTCGATTCATCCAATAAAATAAAGTGATAAATTTAAACCGTTTCGCAGCGGCAATGAATAATTGTATTTTATAATCGCAGTACAACGCTGCAATTAATATGGCTTTACGTAAGACGTATATATAGCTAGGTAGATATCTCAATTGAAATTACTTCGAAATATATCGTTCGAATGCGTAAAATCCGGTCGCCATATCACATTATCAACGTGAATTAATTTAGAATCGAATAAAATTAAATCTGATAAATCGAGTGAAAAATCGACAACACCTATACCAATGCGAACGGAATAATTTGGCATTGAGAACAATTATTCGAAATGTATTATATCATCAAAATATCCGAATACCTTAATTTCGTATTACGGCGATGGCGTGTTATCGACGTTTCTTCTACAAAATGTGACCTAACGACGTGACTTTTCCAATTTCCTTTTCTTTTTCCTCTATTTCCACCCGACAGTTTTTTTTAACAGCTAATGATTTTAGGTTTTAAATGTTCATTTAAGACGCTTAAAAATACGAGCAATATATTCGGACGTGGCTGCTTTCGATTTTGGTACTATTGCAGGCATCTTATTATCTCATCTTATATTTTATTGTACAAGGTAATTATTTCATCACCAAACAATATTAAACAACGATTTTGGGGAATTATTTTATTCGGACATATATCACACACGATACATATTTAGTTTATAATTTAAAAATATCAAATCATATTTAATCATTTTAATCGTTTTTTTTTTCAATTTCAAAAAAAACGTATTGATTACTGTATGGTAATATATGATCATTGCACTTATATGGGCAAAAATAATTAAATATGCAAAATAAAACGAATTGCCTTAAACTCCAAGAATTATGAAAAAAATGAACATATTACTTAACTATACAAAGTGATTCACTAAGTGTGCTAGCCCCATTTTTTCGGTTAAGTTTTTCATACATTTTTGGAATTTTTAAGTGCAGTTAAAGCTAATATTTTCGAATACTTAGATTTTTCACAGCATTGAAGTAGTACCTTGTGGCGATATCAACTTTTTGATTTTCAAATAAGAACCTATATTAAAAATCCCAAAAATAAATGGAGTATTAATTTAATTAAATATTGGTGTTAAAATTTTTGATTTCTGTCTACCCGTTGACGAGATATTTTTTCTTTTAAGTTTAGATAGGGGTAGAGTAGTGGAGGACTAGTAATAAAACGCCGCGCGCCGTGCCACCACACAAATGATACTATCGAACTCCTCTCAGAATCTTTTTTTATTAGCAATGATTAATCGTCGCATACAAAAATACATTAAATTTCCTTTTATATACTACCTTTCCAACTTTTCACCTAATCTATCGTGCGAAGTATGTTAGTTTTGCACTGAGGAATCAATATGATGCAATAATTGCAGATTTGCCGGCAACTCTATAGTATTATATTTATTTTTTTTTTTTTAGACGGGGAAATATCTTACGGGGATGTGATCTGTTACTGGTTAGGTAGATTAGATATCTAATCAAAGAACGTTTATTGATACCATAACGAAAAAAAAAAACTTTAAAAGTACCGACCGTTTTAAATTCACAATAATATCGAAATAATAAACATTTCGCGTATCACGGTAAAATAACAAAAAACCTATTGAATTACAGTAATAATATGAAAATCAATTGCCTTGGGGAAAAAAAAAACAGTGAACACATCATATCTCTTGACGATTCCGTGTGAAATACATAAACAAACAATGAAAATAATATTATATAATAATACCGGGGACATAAAAAAATATATTATATTTTACGAAAAAAAAAAAAATAAATAAATAAAAAAATCATCGACATAATAATAATATAAACGCGTATAGGTAGGTATATTTGTTTCGCCAGATTATTCTGCGCTCGCGATTTTTATTCGCACGGCGAAGAATAATATTGTTATTCGAAAAATAACAATATTATATCATCGAACTATTTTTTCCATTTTTCTGACCGAATAATTCCGTTTATTCGTAAAATGATAGGTTATACAGGGTGATTCTTTTATCACAAATGAGTTATCAATTCAGCATTTTAAAATAGATTGGCACGCGATTTATAACCCTTCATTATTACTCCTCCGGTCTAAACGGTAAAAGTGTTATAACTAGGGCTCCGAAGTTATAAGAGCTAAAAAACGCATAATATGCATGTAATTACGCACGAACAATTTTTAAAATATGCATGAAAAAATATTAATAATGCAAAAAATGTTTAAAAGTCTATTATTCGAAAACATATTATAATAATTATCATAATTTATAATATGTACAAAAAATATAAAGATTAAATGCGAATCACACTGCAGTTGTCGTTAAATTAATAATAGACTGGGACGATAAGAATGACAATAAATAACTACGTTAAATAATATTGACTTTTTATATTCAATATCATTAAAAATACATCGGTTAAGAAAGGAAAAAAAACTAATTTGTTTAGCAAATATTAAATATGCATAATATGCGTAAAAGTATGCAAAAATCAATGAAAATCGTTGAAATATGCACGTTTTCTCTAAAATTAAAGAAATATTCAAAATATACATTTTAAATGTTATATTTTCAAACACTTCGTTGTATGGAAATAATTTCTAACTTGGTCTGATATAAATCTAGTGCACACAGACAAATATGCAATTCTTATAACTTCCGATCACTAATTATAACACTCATATACGGTAAATCCGATATTAGTTTTATGGATATCAAATTATCTAGACAGAATTATAAATAGAAAATACTATTTGAATGTATGATTGATGGAGGGTTTGTACTATTTAAGAATGCAAAATGGATACTCATTTCGGGTGTAAGGAATCAGGGTAAACAATTGAAAATAGTGTTAAAATAATACTCAAACGATTCCATAATAATTAAAAAAAAAAAAAATTAAATAATAGAAATCAAAATCCTCCGAGGAAATTGCTCTGGTTCGTAATAAAAGAATCATCCTGTATATATTCAAGTTTTAATTTTTTTTTTTGAAAAAACAGCCTTAGAAACAATAAAACATAGTATATCACTAACGATGACAATGGCGATGACGA